TGGGGGGGGGGGCCTCCCAGGCCAGTATATGTAACTCATAATAAACTTTTTTAGGCAAGCTCATTTCATTGAAGGAGTAGGGTGATGGGTGGCGACGGGAAGATGACAACTGAGTAAATTAGCAAAGAACAAGAGGCCTGGAGCCATAATTTCTGACTTCTGTTTATAGTTTTGGCATCTTCAGTCTTTGTAAAATGGTGATAATTAACTTTGCCCCAAACCCTGTGTATCAAGTACTGGAAGGAAAAAAAAAAAAAAAGAATTCTATATTCAGAGAAAATACACTTAAAGAAATGAAGGCTAAACAGACAATTTCATATAAATGAAAACTATCGATAAAATAACTAATCACCGGCAGACCTGAACTACAAGAAATGTTAGAGAGAGTTCTTTCACGCTGAAGGGAAACGAGATCAGATAAAACCTCAGATCATCAGTAATGAAGGACACTAGAAACGTTAAATATGCGGGTACATGTAAGAGTCTATTTTTCTCTTAACAAAATGTATAGCATTGTATTGTAAAGTATACAACATATGTAGATATAATACATATGACAACTATAGCTCGTAGAAAAGGCAGTGAATGAAACTATATGGTTGCAAAATTCTTACATTTTTGTGAAGTGGTTCAGTATTGACTCTAAGTAAATTATGGAAAGTTACGGATATTTATTATAATCCTTAGAGCACCTACTTAAAAAAAAAAAAAGAAAAGCAAATGCAGAGGCTTCCCTGGTGGCGCAGTGGTTGAGAGTCCACCTGCCGATGCAGGGGACGCGGGTTTGTGCCCCGGTCTGGGAGGATCCCACATGCCGTGGAGTGGCTGGGCCCGTGAGCCATGGCTGCTGAGCCTGCGCGTATGGACCCTGTGCTCCGCAGGGGGAGAGGCCACAACCGTGAGAGGCCCGCGTACCACAAAAAAAAAAAAAAAAAAAAGAATCCGCCTGCCAGTGCAGGGGACTGGGGTTCGAGACCTGGTCCAGGAAGATTCCACATGTTGCAGCGCAATTAAGCCCGTGCACCGCAACTACTGAGCCTGCACTCTAGAGCCCACAAGCCACAACTACTGAAGCCCACACACCGCAACTACTGAAGCCTGCACACCTAGAGCCTGTACTCCGCAACAAGAGAAGCCACCACAAGGAGAAGCACGTGTACCGCAACGAAGCGTAGCCCCCTATCGCCGCAACTAGAGAAAGCCCACATGCAGCAACGAAGACCCAACGCAGCCAAAAAAAAAAAAAA